GTCAGAGGAACAGGAGGAGGGAGCGCGGCCGTAAACAGGCCGGGAAACGGGGGAAAGAAGATCGATCGGTCCATCGAGAAGAACGCACGTCCAGGAAGCCCGGGCGCATGAGGTACGGCAGGGACTTGTCGGGCTGGGCGCCGGCAGCCTCGGCCGAGGCCTTGGAGATCTTCTCGGCATCCGGGGAGTTGATCACCTCGTCAATCTGCTCGCCAGAGGAGTCGGAACCGCTGGAATCCGAGCTGGAATCGGTGTCCTTCGGCAGGTTGTGAGCCTTGAACTTGGCCAGGGCCGCATGGTACAGGCGGTCGGCCAGGGGGTCATCCGAAGCGGGCATGCTTTCGGCCTCCGGGGCCAGGTCCTTGATGGCCAGCTCCAGGATGGCGAAAGTCAGGCTCTTGCTGTGGACATAGGACCAGCGGGTCTTCTCCGGGCAGATGGGAAGGAAGGTCCGGCCGCTGATCAGCGGCGGCTGGTCGTTGATGGACACCCGGAGGAAGGTCCCGTCGGCAGAGATGTCAACCTGAAGCCGACGAATGGGGGAAGGGGGGACAAGAGAATATAGAGGGAAGGGTCGGCGGAAAGGGAACACAAGATTAGGGTCAGTTGTACGATTGGGGGGAGGAGAGAGCGGGGAGAGGAGGGGGAGGGGGGAGATGGGGAGAGAGGGGAAGATGCAAAGAGACAAGCAAAGACAAGCAGCAAAGACAAGCAGCAGAGACAAGCAGAGACAAGCAGAGACAGAGAGAGGGCTCAGCGCAAAGGGCAGTCATGAGGGCAGTCATGTACCTTGATGTCGTTGGTCACCTCCAGGAAGGACAGGCGAACCAGGATCTTCGGGCCGTCGACCACCAAACGGAAGGTCTCGCTGGCGGCGGCCGACGACCGGAGGTTCAGGATGGCCGGGGTCTCAGCCGGAGCCTTGCCATGCAGGTAGTCCGTGTTGATGGAGTACTCGCGGAAGAGGGAGCGCAGCCGGCGAACCAGAGTGCCAGGCGCAAACTGATCCTCATTGGTGACATCGAGCGGGCTGTCAACGTCCTCGGGCGGCGAGTGCGGCCGGAACAGCGGCTGCACCAGCGACGCATACTGGCGCTGCTCCTCCGGGACTTGATCCTCGCACTGGCCATCGAGGCCAGTCATGGTGGTGGTCAAATGGGGGTAGAAGTCCTTGAAGAAGGTCGCCGGCACCGGGGCCGGGACGATGGTCGGCTCGAAGGGGCCGAGGAAGGTCAGGCTGTAGGCCGCAGGGTCCGTGGAGGAAGAGGCGGAGCGGCCAGAGGCCGCAGGAGAGGCAGGGGTCGACATGACGAGGGGGATGAAGAGGGAGGGGGAGGGGGGCAGGAGGGGGAGACAGGGAAGGGGGGGAGGCCACGATGTGCGGGGAGTAGGAAGCCTCCCGGGAGGAGGATCGTTCCAAAAAAAAAAAGCCGCATATTGCCAAGTCAACTAGCGCTGGGGGGGGGGGGACGAGCAACGTGCGCGCCAGCGCCCGGGGGAATCGGCTTGACAACGCACTCATGCTCCGGGGCTTGGGCGGATTCCCGGCGTGCAACTGACAAACGGTGCGCGTGTGTGAGCGTGGCCCGATGGCTGGCAGATTCTTCCGACCATGTGGCGGTCGCCCTCCCACCCCGCCTGGCGGAGCTGCAGGGTCCCATCACAGGGCGGCCTGGTCATGCAGGTCTGCCGGCCCCACCGCCGGGGCCGGCAGAGGGGGTCGGCCCGGGTAATCACCGTGTGGGCCTGCGAGGGAGGGCGGGGGG